GCTGCAACAATAGTATTTAAATGTTTTTTACAATGTTCAGACATTCTATAAAGAAAAAAAGAGTAACTTAGATTAATTTCATATTTTTTTGTTACAAGATTGGTCAAATTAAACACACCTGTATATATATAACTGATGTCTAGGAAGATAAAATAACAGACAAAATTCAGAAATTGAGGAAGTTTTAGAGATTATGTAAAAGAACATAAAAAATATTTTTATGCTTGATATGAAAATCACTTTGCACTCTGACTGACTAAGCAAAAGCTTTGCAAGATCAGAGAAATCTTTAATAGAAATTCTTTATTGAAAAATCTGATGTTTTGTGTACAACAGACTTGTAATTTTTACTAAATACTTGCCAAATGTACTATGTTTACTACATTCAAAACTATAGTATGGATAGTTTACTGATAGTTACAAGGTCCATCAAATAAATGAGCCCATTCATGGAAAATTAAGAAAAATGTGGAGGAGGAAAAAACCTTATTAAGGTTATTTTTAACACAAATAAGATATCTTACCTTTATATGCAATATGTGTTTTAACTTGCAGCACTAAAGTTTCAAAACTATTTCACAGTGATATGTTTTTAAGAAACAATTAAAAATGCTTACCTTTCTTGTTGATTTTTATTACTGATTTTATGTTTTCTTATATTCTTTGAATACATCCCATAAAGTTTTATCTTGTAAAACTGTAAATTTTATCTATATTTTCTTTCGAAAAACATATCATGCAGTTTTAGTATGTCTATGATCATTGGCATACAATACAATTAATATATATATATATATATCTTTTTTTATCATACCAAAATTACAAGTAATTTTTCAAAATTGTTATTCAGAAGGTTTCACGTAATCTATAAAGTTTTAAGCCCATTTTATATTCATTTATGTATGTATGTATATATATATATATAAATATATGCATGTATGTAAAAACACTATTTCAATAGTTAAGTAAATATTAACACCAAAAGAAATGACTGCATTAGAAAAATCAACAAACCCAAATCTGAGATGAAAAAATAAAAATTTTAATTATGAAATCCGGACATAACAACTAAAACAAAAAGGTGCATAAATTAAAAAGATTACCATGACACAAGTTATAATGAGGGATACAAGTTGTGCCTTGCCTTTTTGGGGGTGACTGCATAAGTCAAACTCAAACCGCAGTGAGGATACACTACCAGTCTTAACCTCCCTTCACTATTCTTACAAGTTAAAGAAAGAAGAATAAAGATAAAATAAGTAAGGAAAATAAGAAAATAAGTTAGGGAGAGCAAGATGTGGGTGCTTAAGCCCACAATGTCTTGCATCTATATCACCCTTCACTGCCTGCTGACAGTTGTAATTTTTCCCTCCAGGTGGGATGCAGCTAACTTGGTATGAAAGAATAAATTATATATTTTAGGAAATTGTATAATTAGCTTATAAATCTACAGATTTAATGTACTGGCAAATCTTACTTGAATATAAATTAGAAAAAAAAAAGGAAATTCTTTTTCTAATAATATACCCAAATATATATCATTAGTAGGATGAGAAACAAATGTACTTTTCAAGGATTGGTAACAGAAAAGTTTAATTACTAAGAAGAATCTTAATTTCAGTTTTAATTTTAAAGTTAACATTTTCCTAACCTGAAAATGTATTTGTGATGGATATACATCTTTGTATACAGATAGCTAGTTTCCTCTGGAAGTCACGCATATCTGCCTGAGAGATTTGCATGCCATCAGCCTTGTGAACTTCACGTGTTCACATGAATTTGCACTACAACATGATGATGAGTCATGCAGCAAAACCCTCCACCAACAGGAGTGCAACATACTTCCTTGTGCAAATCCTCCCTTTACATTCTAATATGAGAATCCTCATTCTTTGACAAGGCAATAAAGAAATGAACACCAGGAAAGTGAGGAGGATGGGTGGGAACACATACAGGTTAACTTCTGAAATGAATGTTCACCTCCATATAAAGATAGTTATAATCCCACATTGAAATGGTGGAGGGACCAGTGCAAAGATTACACAGATGAGCTCCCTTCTGAAAGCATCTAAAGGAAGCCCATGGGGTGTGACATCTGATGGCAGGAGATCCATAGGGGCACACCCGTGGGAGACCGCATCTTGTCTCATCCAGGGTATACTCTTCACCCATGTTGCAAGGATGGGCAGAATAGCTACATGACCAAGTACTTGCACACAAGCCATCAGATGCCCAATATGTGTAGCAAAATTAGGGCTCGTTCACATCATACCTTGTGTGCTCATCTCCTCTACCATCAGACCCAATGGCATCATGGACCCAACCACACATTGGACAATGGTTGTCACATCTTCTACATACAAAGGACTTCCAAAATTGTTGGCAATTTGATCGGTGTGACTGATATTTTCACCCCCATCAGTTCAAGAAGACTTCACATTGAATTGTGAATTCATGGTTATGTTTAAACACAATCAAAATAATTTCAGAACAAACTTCTTTGTTTGGTCTCAGCAAACACTAGCATGTCTTGACACAACTCTGCTGAGGAAAAGAATGAGGAATTTCATGCACAAAAGTAGAGGTAGGTTTGTGTAAGGAGGTGTGTCACACTCCTAATAGTGGAGGGTTTTGCTGCATGGTTCATCAACATATAGCAGCATAAAATTCATATGAACACGTGATTGTAGATGAGAGTTTTACAAGGCTGATGGCGTGCAAATCTCTCAGGCAGATATGCGCAACATCCAGAGGAAAGTTAACATTTTCTTATACTGAAAAGGTATTGCTGATAGGTACTTACCCCTCACACCCAAAGCTATCTCAATCCTGGACTGCCCTCTAAGCATTACTAAAATTTTTGCTAACAGTGCACCACTCTTTTATACCCCATCACTTTCGTGCCATTTCAGAACATGTGACTACTCTCCACCAATCATATTAGCACAGTTAGTTCCCTCTACTATTCTAGAGTAATCCTCACTTTCCAGAATTGACAGGTACAAACCAGAAACACTGGCATATCAGTGGGGAGGAAGGGTGGGGGGAGGTAAGTAACTACCAGGAATATGCATCAATATCCAATAAAGCAGAAAGCAACCATACTAAAAGAACAGGTGTGCAAGAATATGGGTAAAAAACATCCAGGGGAAGGGCCTTGGGGTATATCGGACTATGCCAATTGAGGTCCAATCAGGCACAAAACATACAGTGGAAGCACCTTGCATAAGAAATTTTTGACCAACAAGTGCAGTCTGCCCGGGCAAACACATCCAGGAGAAGCACTCTGGATACTGAATAATATTGTATAATTCATTGTTTAGTACTGTAATGATTATAACAATTCTAGTCCTAATCTCATCAAGTGGGATACATGGGCTAGAAAACTTTTGGTTTTCAAAACCCACTCAGAAGGAAACCTCCACAGTCCACCATTCCAGGGACTGGGAACTGGAAAGGACTCCCGTGCTCAACTAGAAGGGGAGGATTACCTATTGGGAAGTCCAGAAGAATGACACATTGGAGACAGTGTAATGGGTTCGGCGATTTCATATTGGGAAAAGCAGATAGACTCCAATTGTAGGAATCACAGGTCAGTAGTGATGGGTAGAAATCCCCATCTGCTTTACTCAGGTGGTTCATGAGTGATGTTCCTTTATAAATGAACAAGTAACTGGTAGTAAAAAAAATATAGATATACATACCACCTGAGAAGCTGCTGGTGGTCTTACATAAACACTCCATCTCAACAGCATGTATGACAGAATTATTCGAGGAACAACAATTAGACGGTTAAGTGGGCACCATCAACATCTGATCAACAGCCCCTTTTTGTAGTAGGTCTTGAACAGACTATGTAAGACGCCTGGAAGAAGTACAATCCCAAGGAGGAGAGAAGGAGATATGTGAAGTGGATGTATAAAACCATTAAAGGAACTTAGAAGATAAAACACACGTAAATATTGAACTTATAAGTCTACACAAAGAACTGATAAGACAAATGACACGAAAGTAAAACCTATGCTGAAGAACATAAGAATAAAAAGGTATCCAGCTAACAATAACAAATTTTGACTCAAATCTACTCCACAATTAGATGTGACTAGTAATAAAGAAAGAGGAACTTACAAACTAAATAAAATAAACAGTGAAAGAAGTATAAATAACAAACCAACACACCCATAAAATTGGCCAAAGTTACAATTACCCAAATAGTAACTGTTGTAAAAAACCCATACATATACCGAAAATTAAACAAAAACAAATTAATAATCAAATTCTAAATGCAAGTTTAAACCAAAGTAACTTAGACGGTAAAAATATTATAAAAATCTAACTTACCAAATACTGAGCAGAGAAGACAGGAAAGACCTAAATTATTAAATGTGGAAATTAGGTCAATTCACACAAGCTCACATAAACTCGCTAAAGATGGGTATACCTACTTGGAATGAGGAATACACGCTGAAAAACTTACCATGCATTTTGATGCATGATTCATCATCATGAAGTAGTGCAAATTCATATGAACACATGTGAATTTAGGTGGGAGTTTCACAAGGTTGGTGGCATGCAAATATTTCAGGCAGATATGCATGACTTCAAGAGGAAAATATCTGTGTAAGAAGGTGAGTATTCATTTGAAAATTGTTTATTCTTCTTATGAACAAATAGTAATGGCAGCTGTAAATGAAAAAGGATGTAAAGCACTAGACATGTGATAAGTGCAACAGGATTAACAGACATTCTGGAACATATGTTTTCTAAGAAATACTTTATATATATATATATATATATATATATATATATATAATATATCATAGACAGTATACTATATAGTGGATATATATATGTATTATTCGTACCTCCTATTATTCTGTAAGACGCCTATTCTTGTTACCTACCTT